AGATAGCATAGATAAATGGGACTTCGTAAAACTAAAAAGCTTCTGCTCAACAAAAGAAATGGTCTCTAAACTGAAGCGAATACCCAAAGAGTGGGAGAAAATATTTGCCAGCTACACATCAGACAAAGTACTGATAACCAGAATATATAGGGAACTCAAAAAACTAAATTCTCCCAAAACTAATGAACCAATAATGAAATGGGCAAGTGAACTAAACAGAACTTTCTCAAAAGAAGAAATTCAAATGGCCAAAAAACACATGAAAAAATGCTCACCATCCCTAGCAATAAAGGAAATGCAAATTAAAACCACACTAAGATTCTACCTCACCCCTGTTAGAATAGCCATCATTAGCAACACCACTAACAACAGGTGTTGGCGAAGATGGGGGGAAAAAGGAACCCTTTTACACTGGTGGGGAACGCACACTAGTACAACAGCTCTGGAAAAAAATCTGAGGTTCTTAAAAATCTAAACATAGATCTACCATATGATCCAGCAATACCACTCTTGGGGATATACCCAAAAGGCTGTAACACACAGGTTACTCCAGAGGCACCTGCACGCCTGTGTGTACTGCAGCACTATGCACAATAGCCAAGTTATGGAAACAGCCAAGATGCCCCACTACTGACGAATGGATTAAGAAAACGTGGTATTTATACACAATGGAATTTTATGCAGCCATGAAGAAGAACGAAATGTTATCATTCGCAGGTAAATGGACGCAATTGGAGAACATCATTCTGAGTGAGGTTAGCCTGGCCCAAAAGATCAAAAATCTTATGTTCTCCCTCATATGCAGACATTAGATCAACAGGAAACACAACAAGGGGACTGAACTCTGATCACAAGATAAAAGTGAGAGCAAAGGGAGGGGTGAAGATAGGTAAGACACCCAAAAAACTAGATAGCATTTGTTGCCCTCAACGCAGAGAAACTAAAGCAGATACTTTAAAGCAACTGAGGCCAATAGGAGAAAGGGACCAGGAACTAGAGAAAAGGTTAGTTCGAGAAGAATCAACTTAGAAGGTAATACACATGTACAGGAAATCAATGCATGTCAACTCCTTGTATAGCTAGTCTTATCTCAACTAGCAAAAACCCTTGGTCCTTCTTATTATTGCTTATATTCTCTCTTCAACAAAATTAGAGATAAGGGCAGAATAGTTTCTGCCTGGTAGCGAGGGGTAAGGGGGGAGAGGAGGGGATTAAGGGAAGGGGTGGAGGGAAGGGGGGAGTAATGACCCAAACATTGTATGCACATATGAATAAAATAAAAATTAAAAAAAATTAAAAAAAAAAAAAGGTCACAAAGGACTTTTGTTGAAAGTCTACATGAACTCAACTCAGTCCACTTCTAGTTTGTGGTTTTCTTATGGCCTGACCATGATTATTTCTGTATATATGGAGTTTAAATGACAGGAATCATATTAGTCACAAATTGTTGAATTTCCATGTTCAAATATCTGCTAAATTTCAGGTACTATGTTAATAATACTACTATTAATTGCAACTAGCTCATGTTCCCCAAATATTACACAGCATTTATACTATGTTCAACACTTCACAATCATTCACTCTCCTATGAGGTAGATTCTATTGCTGCATATCACAAATACTCTAGATAATGCAACTGAGGCACACAGATGCTAAGCAGTATGATAGAGGGCACTGGCTGTTACACAGAAGACACAGGACACTGACTCCAGAATTCATTTTGTAATCTGGGCGAAAGTCTATGCCTTTAGGGGAAAGATAACTGTAAACACGCATTCATAACATGTTTGTAGCAAGTTTAATAACCACACATGAGATACTGAAGAGACAGCACTGTGTTAAAAGGCATCAAGGAAAGCTTATAGGGAAATGAAATCCTGAAGGCAAAATTCAACGAAACTGTGAACAGTTTTCTTCCTTTATCTGAATCTCTGACACTTAATTCCATTCTCACCTTTTCCTGGTTTCCCTCCCACCCCACCAAAGATCTTCCTCTGTCCATTCCCTAAAAGTAGAAGGTTCCAAGGACTTTCCTTCCCCATTCACTTCACACTTATCCTCCTCTTCCCTCCCTATTACTCCTATGGTCTAAAATACAAACTACCTGCTAGAAAATCTCAGCTCAGATAGGTGCTGTGCTTCAAGCCCAAGAGACACCTACTTTAAAGTTCAGCGAGACAGCTCTTCAATACTTATGGTTTTCTAAGACATTATTGCAAACGTAAAGTCAAAACTGTTCAACAACCTACTCCTTATAGTGTATCATGGATCTATGAATGGTAAAAATCATCTCTGGGTGATAAGTTTATGGGTGATTACTTCCTTCTTTCAATTTCAAATACCAACAAAAGTTATTTACTGACTAAAAAAAAACCTATACTTTAGAAACATCCTTTAAAGCACACTCTTTAAATCTGGTTCATTACTGCCTTAAGAACAAAAGAATGATGACCAAAGGTAAGGGAAAGTGCAACCTTAAACCACTAAGATATTCTTTACAGGATTTTTTTTGTCCTAATACAAACTAACTGGGGGAGGGTAGGAATCAACATTTTCTTTGATATGCGAACAAGAGGAGAGCTGAGAGCATTGTTTAGATCTAAAACAAGGATCTGGAAGCTCCAAGTAAAAAGATTTGTCATAGAGCCCACCAACTTCTAACTTGGAAGAAGAAATAGCTCCAGGAGGCTTCAGTCTCAAAGCGGCCAGTGAAAATAACTGAGGCAAAAAAACCGCAAGAGAAAAGCAGGCCAGGGGAACCTAAAAACATACTTTCATAAAGCGCTCACAAGGTCAGTCGAAGACAAGAGAGGAGGACTCTAAGGCAGGGAGCAGACACTGGGGAAGTTAACACCTCATCCTAGCCAAAAAGCACCTTTTATTCTGGGTTTGAAAAGAACAGAACAGACTCCACTTAGACATGCAGGAAATATGCAAAGTCCAGTTACACAGAAAGAGCAAAGGGAAAACCACCCTGTTGCTCCACATGAGGATAACCCCCACAGACATTTTGGTTTATGGGGAGAGAAGCAGATTTTAAAGGAACTCTTAGAAGAATCCAAGCATCCCAGGTTCATGGTTCAATTTAAAAACTTCACTCATTATAGTGTGCCTCTGCTTCACACCACAAATATTCTCACATGCAAGTTCTCCTTCCTGGTGTTCTACTTTTTCAATTCTTCCTCACCCATTTGTTAAGTGTCTTAGTAAAATACTTTTGAAAATACTCAAGCAGTGTCATATGTGATGGTGCAAGCCTGTAATTCCAGCTACTAGGGAGGCTAAGGCAGGAAGATAGAAAGTTCAAGGCCAGCCTGGGCAATTTACCAAGACCCTGTCTCAAAATAAAGTAAAAAAAGGGCTAGGATGTAGTTTAGTGGTAGAACAGTTGTCTAACATGCTGATTGACCCTGGGTTTGATCCCCAGCACTGAAGGAATAAAGAGAAAGTGTGTAGTAGTACATTCCTACAAAGCAAAGCATCAGCAGTACATTTCTGGTGGCTGAGAGCTGTGAGCCACCAGGATGAGAGGGAACCTAGGAGGGAGGCAAGAGAGGACTAGGTGATCCCTGTTCCCAGGACTTCTATGGAATATTAACACTGCAGTGAGGCACTAAGTTTTGGCAACAGATCTCAAGATTTCCTCAGCAGAGAATTTAAAAGGCAAGCCTGATCCCCATAGCACTTGAAGATAAATAAGCAAGAACTAAGGATAAGCTTCTGAAAATAACAAAGAAATTTATGAATAATTTGAGTTTCTCCTTGCTTGATGTACAGGTATTATTATGCTCCTTTATGATACTTAGAATAAATACTTAGGAACTCTTGTCCTTAATATTTACCTCTTATTCTCTCTCCAAGTCCAAGTATCCCCACTAAAATGACAACAGATTTTTTTTTCTTGAAGGTATAAAACCAAGAATGAGAGAAAGAACATAAGCAGATAAGGGATTTTTTTTTTACTTTGATAAATTTTTGCAGGTGGGAAGCAAGGTTCAAATGCAGATCTGAAAATGAGAATGGCAAGAAGTCTATTTAACAGACAATTCAACCACCCCCCCCCCCGCCAAGTCAGAAAAATATCTTGCATATTTTCCCCACCTCTAAATCTAGAGGTTTAAAGAAAAATGAACTAGTCTTAAATGGCTCCGGAGTCAAAATATATCATCAGGAGCAAGAACTGAAAATAGAGACTACGCCAAAAGGTTCACACTGAAAAATACTTCAAATCCCCCACCCTTGACCCAACAACTGAAATTTAGTTAACTGAAGAAATACCAGCAAACACATCTATCTGTACAAACACACACACACAAGATCCACATGTGCCAATCACACTCAAGAAAGCACACTGCCCAAAAAGACTCATCCTGGTATTTCACTCTTTTGAAACAACAAAAACAAGAAGCAACCAATAAGAACAAACAAGCCAGGATCATTAGACCTCTGAAGAAATCCCAAGATTTCTTCTTGGGATTCATTTCTTAAAGTAATTGTAAGTACTATCAAGAGCAAGGTACTGCTCTAGATCTGGAGTCACAGTGGTGACCAAAACAAAACTCCCTGCCCTGGGAGAATTTATACTGTAGCCATAAGGGAGTCAAGACAGCAGCAGGCGTGATATGCCAGAAGGTAAGAAATGCTTCTAGAGAGAAAGAGAGCAGGGAAGAGAGATGGGGATCTGTGCTTTGAAACAGCTCTGTTTCACTGAGACGACTTGAAGCAGACTTGAAAGAGAGGGAACAAGTCACTGGATATCTGAGGTAAGATACATCCAGGCAATTATTGGTGCAAAGCTCCCCAATCACCTGAAGGAAATGGAGCCAAACAGAGAACAGAGATCTAAAAACTACACTGGGCCCTATTTAAGCCTATTACATCCATGCAACAAGAATGGATACTGTAAAAAGAATCAATGAAAGAGAAAGATTGGGAGGAAAGTCAGAGAAATGCTCAAAGGAAATGTCCCAGAACTGAAGGACATGAATAAAAGTGCCTACCATAACCCAGCAGGAGTGAGGAAAGATCCATTCCATCATGAAGGTACAGAACAACAGAGATACAGCATATCCTCATAGTTTCTGAACAGGGAGAAAGGAAAACACACAAATCAAGGTCACATAAAAAGGACTTGAGTCACTATGTCTGTAGAGCAATTAAAAAACACCAGAAGACAGTATGGCAATGCCTTCAATGTTCTGAGGGATAATTATTTCAAACCTTGAACTCTGTAAACTGCTGAACCACCAAACAGCTGTGTGTACAAAACAAAGTCATTCAAATACTTCTCAGGAAATTATCTGAGTATATGCTTCAAGAAAACAAGCACATAAAACCAGAAAAAGGGAGACATGGTTCTGTACAGCAAGGACACAAGAGAAGGGCAGCAGCTCCTGAGAAGAACGGGGAAGAAGGAGGAAGAGGCAGCATTCCAACCAACTAACACGTTACTGCTAAGCTCACCTGTTTTACCAAGAGATTACAATTATGTTAGGGGAAGAGGGCAGGGAAGGTACAAGAGTGGTCAGGTAGATGAACTAAGTCCACACAGGAATTCAACAGAGCCACATTGGGGGGAAAAAAGAAATAACAAAATACCAAGTTACTTATAAATATGAAGATCATATCAGGGGGAAGAGGAAAATAACTGAGTGGCTGCTTCTAAATAATCAACCTATAGGTAAAGAGGATGAAGAGAACTTTTTCATTACTATTTGACTTTTAAAAACCATATAGGTGAATTACTTTGATAAAAAAATAAAAAGAGAAAAAACAGCAATATTTAAAATTGGCCATTTTCCTCTCTCTATGATTTTTAGTAACCTTACTTTTTGTCTGGTATGCCCATAAACAAGAGAACTTTACTCCTATTCCCTAGAACGCTTGTTGGGCAGGTAAGAAGAAGGAAAATTGATTCCTGGGCTCCAATCAGCATTTACTAAATCAAAATCTCTACAGCAACAACATGTAGATTTAAAAGCACCCCAGTGATTCTTATCATCAAGCAAGTTAGGGATATTGGCACCAACACATTGGGATCAATAAACTGTGTGGATCTGGTTTTCCTGTGTTAGTAATTAAGCTCTCCTAAGGACAACTAGTGGAATTTATTTCATTAGATTAACAGTATATGCCAAGAATAAACAATACACAATAATCCACATCTTTAAGCTATTCTTGTTCAAATTTTCAAACAAATACAGAAAATAGGTTTATCCTCCTCAAGTAGCTATCTGTTGGAAATACCTCTTTATAATTTCTTTAGGGTCTTGATATCTTCTGGCTTTTATCCAACCACATGGTTTTATAATCCCTCAATTTTCCAGTGTTGATGTTCTGGAAACCAGCCACCCTTCTAATGTATATCCATTTTCTGATATGATCACCTTGGTCGTCTTATTATATACAACATAAAATATATAGCTCTTTACGGTTATGAAAACATGCTAATGATCTTATTTTAATCCGTAATCATGATATGCCAATTTTAGTACTTATTACATACTAGGCATCACACGTACTTACTTATCTTGTTACTTACCACAACAATCTCATTAGGTAAGTATTATTAATTACAAGCTTAAATACTTGTAAATGACAAAGCCTCCAACACATATCCCAGTCTGTTTTCAAAGCCCATAACTTTTCTAAATACCAAGGTCTTTACTTTCAGTAAGCAGCGGAATTACAAGATCACCTAGCTGTTTTCCCTACCATCCTTTTCTGGGTAAAAAATTTAAAGTTCAAAATCTTTAAGTGAATCACCTACAAGACATAATTAGACTGAATTCTGGACTCTTAGTCCAGTTATAAATTTATCTGGCAAGTTGTGTATGTACTGGTGCTATATTATATGCTTGCAATAGCTAATACTCATTGAACACTGACAACTGTGTTAGGCTCTATAAGATTAATATGCACCAAGTGCCAGTGGCTCATGCCTGTAATTCTAGCTACTCAGGAGGCAGAGATCAGGAGGATTGAGGTTTGAAGCTAGCCCAGGCAAATAGCTCATGAGAGCTTAGCTCGAAAATAACTATCACAAAAAGGGCTGGCAGAGTGGCTCAAGGTGAAGGCCCTGAGTTCAAACCCCAGTACCGCAAAAAAAAAGACTAATATGCATTAACTCACCTAATCCTCAAACACTATTAAAGTAGATATCATCCACATTTATTTTAAAAATATTGAAGTGGGCAAAGGATGTAGCTTAGTGGTAGAGCACATTCTTAGCTTGTACAAGGTCCTGGGTTTGATCCCCAACACCAAATAAATAACAACAAATGAAAAAGACTAGAACTGGGTATGGTACTGCATGCCTGTAAATCCAGCACATGGGAGGCTGAGGCAGGAGGATTGTGAGTTCAAGGCCAGCCTAGGCTGCATAATGAGACCTTGTCTTAAAAAAAACCCAAACAGCCAAAATAAAAAATAGCAAAGTGAGAGAGGTTAAGCAACAGTCTAAGATTACATAGCCAGAAAGTGGCAGAGCTAGGATCTGAAACCCTGTTTACCTGACTCCAAAGTGATATGGCCTACCATCTGCCAAGAGATTATAGGTCTCTTCTGTAAGCTCATTTGGTATTCTTCTATGATACGTGACTCTTAGATCTCAGTTCAAACTCAACTGCTTTAAAAAAATAAAAAGAGACAAACAGGAAAGTCTACCCACCAACTAGTTACTAGATGATATTAAGAAATACATTTTTAAAGAGTGGTATTGATATATCGGTTATGCTAAAAATAAGTCCATCTTTTTTTAAAAGATATTTACAAATAATTATTGAAGTATTTACAAATAACATGTATCTGTGATTTGATTCAAAACCATCTGGGAGGTTATGGTAGGGTGTGGGATATAGAACAAGACTGACCTTGTGTTAGTTAAGTGTAGAAGCTGATTGATGGATATTGTATGAGGGTTTACCAGAGCATTTTCTCTACTTCTGTAAACATGTAAAATTTTCCACAACTGAAAAACATGCACATAAAAAAAGACTAGAGAAAAACCATGGTATCAGCATATTTGGAAAACAGAACTATTTTTTTTTTTTTTTTGAAGGGCTGGAGCTTTATTGGCTCTGAAGTAAACTCAGGTGAAGACCACGTTCCATCTCCCCCTTCCCCTGCAAGGAGGTTCAAGGTGGTGGCATTTGCCACCCTACTGGATCTTCAGGGACAAGGGTGAGCAGGGCAAGGAAGGGGTGCGCTGCCTTAAGCCTAGTGCCCACGGGCCCAGAGGCCGTTGCTGCGTGGTGATAATGGCTCTGCGTGCAGATGCCGAGGTCAGCTCCAGGACCCGAGACTAAGGCATCATCTTCCACCACTTGAAGGCAAAGGGCACCCGGCGGATGTTGGCACAGGCGCAGAAGTCTCCGATGTCAGTCAGGTAGCAGTCGAAGTCATCAATGAAAGTGCACTGCAGGCCCAGGGGCTCCAACAAGTGACAGATCTTTTCTTCTAGGCAGCAAGTACCCTTGATTTGGGGCCCAAAGGGCTTAGGGATCCCCAGATTGTTGCCCATCACAATCATCCGCAGCACATCAGGAAAATAAGGCCGTGCGAAGAGTTTTGGGGTCTTCTGGTCGGAGGGGATGTTCGTCAGCTGCTCCAGGCAGAAGAGCTGGGGAAGATCTATGATGTCCTTCTCCACCAGGCCCAGCTCCTTCTTCAGGATTTCCCTCCTTGCCTCTGTTCTATTTTTTGAACTTTTTACATTTTCTTTAAGTATTACTTTTATAGTGGAAAGTATAAAATAAACTATTCCTTGTATAGTGATCTGTGACTCTTTTTATTTATTTTTTTGGTGGTACTAAGGATTGAACTCAGGGCCTTACACTTGCTAGGCAAGTCTCTACTACTTAAACCAGTTCCCCAGATCTTTTGCTGTTTGAGTTTATTTTTCAGATTGGGTCTCTTGCTTTTGCCAAGCCCAGCCTCAGAATGCCATCCTCCTACCTAACTGGCTGGCTCTGGATATTCCTTATCTTCTCTAAATAAGCATACCAATATTGCCCATAACCTTATAGGGTCAAAACATACATGGCTGAGCCAGGTGTGGTGGTACACACCTGTATTCCCAGCACTGGGGAAACTGAGGCAAATAAACCAGTCTACACAGCAATACCCTACTCAAAAAAAAAATATCATGGCAAGAGCATCTCTCATCTTTTAAATGCTATTCACCTACTTATTGGAAGTCTACTGTGTAAGGGCAAGTATGGCCTTTAAATGTAAACCAGCATAAACACAAGAGATTAGAGACTGACTTAATAAAAATAAATAATTGTACAGTTCCTCTTCATAACTAGCAAGGTCTGGGGCAAAGACCTTGAATGTGCAAAGGTGATCTTCCTAATGGTCAGATGGCTGTCAGGGTAGGGATGTTATCTCTTTAGCCTTTTGTACTACCAGAGAGGAACTCTGGATGGCCACAGCTCCCAGGTCAGTAGTCTTCTGTGGGCCACCTCCAGCTTTCTCCAGTGGTACAATAACTATTTCCACATGTGCCATGAAATAAAGTCTGGGAAGCACTGGTTTAAGTTAGACCTGCCTTGACCATTACTCAAAAGCTGAATAAAAGTATAAGGGGGTGTAGTGCAATGGAGTCTTTTTAAAATGCTGGTATGGGGGGAAAAAAAGGTCAACATCCATGTTATAGGTGTACACTACCGTTTTCTAATATTTCCCTCTCTAGTGCACAGTATTAAATCCAGAGCCTCAAACACGCTAAGCATATCCTTTGCCACTGAGTTGTAACTCCTACCCCCTAATAATATTTTTATCTGTACCCCCACGAATGCCCCATTTAGGCAATCTTAAGCATTTTTCCAACACCATTCAAAGAAAAAAACTCCAAATATAATTAGCTCAGTGGCATGAAGTTAAATCTGGGAGACAGGAGCAGAATCCAGATTCTCTATACTAGAGCAAAATGTATTCAAGACAAGCTGAAATAAATTCTACCTGTTAGCTCAAAAGAGAAGTACTGAAGTGTCACTCATTGGGGAAATCTTCATAGAACAGAAGCCTAGAGCTATAAAGATCATCTGTTAAATACTGAAACAAATTCTTTGTTCAGGTTCCTAGCAGCTGAACTGGGACTAGTCCCTAGATCTCCTGGCTCCCAAAGGCTGACTGCAATTTCTAGGACACCTCCACAGAGTCCCTGTTAATTGCTTCTTTTAATCTTTCTAAAACCATAAAACAATGTTCAAGTACTTCCTGTTCTTCAGGAAAACAGGATGTCTGGCTAATCTGCAACTAGCAAATCACTGTTTGAGGAACCACAATTTAACTTTATGCAGTTAATCAGCCTTAAATTTGTGATACTTAAACCCAAGTTCCTTTTAAATACTAAGACAGCCTTTTTGTTCTTACCACAGAGTAGGAAATATCATTAAAAACAAATTATCAAGTTGTTCTTTATATAACAGTTACTTTGAGAACAAATACTGTGACACATCAAATCTATTTAAGTAAGCCACATTTGAACAGAGCTGTACTCCGTAAGAATGAAGAACAATTAACAGAATTTCATTCGTTGTACTGAGAAAACAGCTGGGACAAAGAGGTGTCCCTAACCAGAAAGACAATGAGATTAATGCAGAAGTAAAAAAATGAAGGTCTAAAGTAGCATAGATTGAATGAGGAAATGGAAGGAGGCAATATAAAGATTTGAAAAGGAAAAATGTATTTGCATAAATTCTTTATACTCAGGGCTTTAAACCAGGAAATGCCTGCATTCATAAGAGAAACATTAAGGAAGTTGTAACTTCTGTAGACACGTTGGCTAACATAGTCTCGTGATAACAAGCAAAAACTCTGAATTCTTTGAATTCTTCTTACAAGTTTCAACAAGAAAAACCTAAAGGTTCCTTCTTCAGAAAAAAGTGACCAGTGTTTTTATTCTACAGTGTGTGCCTTGAGTTAACCTGAGACCCAAGAACACAAGCTCTGTGTCACTAACAATGACATCTGAGTTGTTGGTTCGTTTTGTTTACTGCCACAGGAGGCCAACTCTGCAAGAATAAGTGTTTTTTCTTGAATGCCATAAGGAAAGGTGAAGGCAGAAACAGGTTTTTCCAGCACCTTCCCCTGTACCCTAAACAGGTTCGTAATTAATGTAATGATGTGAATTTATGTACTGATGTCCATATTTCAGAGTCCTTGGAAAAGGGTCCACATGTAACCACCAAGTGATGCTCAACATTCAAGTGAAATTAGAACCAGGGTCTAGGGCATCTTAGTAAAAAGTGGTAATTTCTTAAAGTGGAATTTCTCAACTTTTATGGATCTATGTCCTACCTGTAAATTGGCAGGAAAAATAAAATAAAACCAGGAGAAACACAGGATTCCAAGGAAACTCCTTTGGAATTCTTTCCATTTATATCCAGAGCATCTATCTTATTCCAGAAACTCACACAAGGCTGCTTTCCCACTCTTTACATCCATTCTTACATTTACCTTCGATTATTCCCTATCTTCATTATTAAGTTGAAAAACTGGCAGAAATAAGTCAATTCAAAATGTTCAGAAACACCTAAGACACCATAATACACTTCAGCAATCTAACAATTTATGAGCTAGGGGATTTTTAAAAAGTTCTCAAGGGACTCACAGATCAACAGTAGCTGCCAATGGTGCATCTTGACCTGCATTACTCATAATCAATTCTAATTCAAAGGACAGTACCCAACAGGGGGGAAAAGACCACTGAATGGGGCATGACCTCATTAATGATTACATAGATTGCAGCATCCCAGCTGGTTTCCCTGCTACCAAACCCCTTCCTTTCAATCTGTCCTGCGTTGTATTGTCAGATTCATTTCTAGAATTCCACTTTCAAGGAATCTCCCAACAAACTTCAAAGGGTCCCAAACCACCTGCTTCTTCAACTTGAAAGTCTTCTTTAGACTGACTCCACCTGTCAGACTTGACTCATGCTCCTTGTGGCTCCCTTCTGCCAATCCTTTTAGGAAGTGTAGGATCCAAACCTATTTCAACTACCTCTTTTCTAACTCCTTAGGCAGCCTTCCTGCTATCTCTCTATCCTCAGCACAGATCCCTGAGTTTTCTCTACATTCGTTCAGAACTGGGCATTAGCTTTCTTCTTAACAAATGGCGTGTGTATATATCCCTAGGTATTTTAAAGACTACCTTCCCAAACAGATGTTCGTATTCCCTGTCGCCCGTTCGTGAAATTAGAGTCACTTGCAATTCGGGCATGGGAGTCCAGATATCACATTTTGTTAGGGAGGGACAGAAGGTTTGGGGCAGTTGTAAACTACAGAGGAGAAAAATAAAAGAAGAAACAGGAAGCAGAGAAGGTCTGTCTGAGCCCCATACGTTCAGTCTTTTCCTTGGGAGGAGTAGAGAAAGGGGAAGAGACCCCAAGAAATGAATTCCTGAGGAAGCACAGAAAAAATCTGTAGGCTCTCTAGGTAGGAAATAGGGGCTGGGGGGTCCTGGATACATAAAAGGGCCATCACGACAGGTTACAATGTGAAACAAAGAGGTTGGAAATTCGAAGGTGAAAGGTGGAAAGGCTAGAGATCCGGGCATCTCCGGAGATGCAGCGGCAAGAAAAGAGAGGGGACACGACACATCCCTCAAAGAACTAGCCAACGATGTGGCTGTCAAGAGGGACGAAGTAGGTGACCAGGAAAGCTGTGGGGCGAGCGTCTATAGGGCTGCGCTTCAAAGAAGGCGCGGGGGCGGGGAGGTATTTTTGAGTGGGGTCGCACCGCAAAAGGAAAAAAGCTTCTAAGGGAACTGCTCTCCAAGAACGGAAACCTTAGTAACGCGGAAAACGTTGAGGCACCGGTATTTCCCAGTCCCAGCCCGGCTTCCTCACACACTCACCACGTCTCCTCCAAACGCCACCACTTCCAGCTGCAGCTACCGGCCGGCGCAGCCGCACTAAGTGCGCATGGCCCACGTGACTCGCAAACTCCCGCCTCCCCACGAAACCCACAGAGCCCGCCCACTGGCCCCGCCCTCACGTCACTTCTCCACGTGGTCTTGGCTCGCTCCTCCCTTGGCAAGATGGCGGCTTCCAGCTGTAGAGCGCCTGGCCTCTGGGTCCGGGGTACCGGTAGTCTTTGGGGGTACTTTTTCACTCTTGTCCCAAAGCCATTTTGTTCCACCGCTGCTGCCTCTAAGCCCCTGGATGCCCAGCAATTAGCGGAGAAGCTCCGAGCCCAGAAACGCGAACAAAAGTCGAAGAAGCTGCCGGTGAGTGTCAAAGGACCACAACTCCCAGAAGGCAGTGCGCTTACTGGTTTCCCTGGCGGGGGATGTGTGATAGGAGTTGGCGCCTTAGGTGTGAGAACCAGGAGACCCGGGGGGTGGGGCGGGGGAGAGGTCAGTAGGGGGACGGTACTTTCTTGTGGACTCGGTCTTGCTACTGCCAGGCTAAGCCAGACCTAACCACCGAGCGGTTATGCATGCTGTCATGAGCATAAGATAAGAGTCGTCGCCCGCTACAATTCTCCTCCAGATCTTATTGAAGTCCTTTCCCTAGTATTTCCCCACTACTTCCTCATCAAACATTTCCAACACCCCTTCTGTCTTCCTAGGAGCCCACAAACCCTATTCAGCGACGAGTGCAAGAACTAGCGCGATTCACACAGCAGCTGCAGCGAGTTCATCCCAACGTGCTAGCTAAGGCACTGAGCCGAGGGATTCTCCACCAAGACAAGGACCTTGTGGTCATCAATAAGCCCTATGGTCTCCCTGTCCATGGTAAGAACCAGGTGGGCAAGGAAAAGGGACCTGCCGCTGCTTTCTGCTTCACCTAGGGGCACTCTGAATCATTTTGTGTGAGGCAGACTTACATTCAAATTAAACCTTTGTAGAGTATTAGCCTATGTCAGGGACTACCTAGGACACAGACTTAAGTGTCTAGTCTCCAGTCCTAGACATCTGACAGCACTGAGTCCTGGAATGTGCTGTGTACAGACCACCACAGGAATTGCTCTAGAGAAATACAAAGGCTGCACTGTTTGTCTTCAGGTTATTTTCCATCAAAATTGAGAAACAAAAACTATTGGTGAGTGTAGTGGGTGTGCCTGTAATTCCAGGTCGAAAGGCTGAGGCAGGAGGATCAGGAATTCTAGCCTAGTCTGGGCAACAGAAAGACCCCATTTCATAAAAAAAGAAAAAGCAAACTGAGAAAAAGGAAATAGTATATGAGAGAGAGAGAGAAAGAGATGTGTGTGTGTTGGATTACACCTGACAAAAATCTAGTGTCTACAGCTTAATGAACATTCACATGTCATTGAATAAATGTTGAATGTAGTGATAAGGACAGCTGAGGTCAAAAAAGATTGATAGAAAAGAATGTATTTGTGAAAATAGTTAAGCTAGAATAAATATTTTAGTTCTTCCTTTTGGGGAGCTATGGAGAAGGTTGTGCATAAAGACCAAGAATTAAAACAGGCATTGACTGTCAAGTGCTTTGCATGATTTTTTTTCCTCTTGATTTTCACTTCTTGCTCTAGTCCCCAGTGAGATTATTTTCCAGATATTTACATCTTGTAGATGCAAAAACAAAGTTGGAATGATAATCTATCTGAAGTCAAATGACTAGTTAGGAAAGTAGAGTAGAACTCAAGAATGTCTAGTCTCAACACCCATCCTTCTAACCACTGTTCTGGAATGCCTTATGAGGACATCAGTATGTCTAAGGAGGAAGCCTTGTGCTCTAGGACAATGTTTCTTAAACCTTAATTGCTTATGAGTCTCGGGCAGCTTGTTAAAATGCACATTCTGACTTAATTTGGATTGGGACCTGGGGTTGATTTCCAGCAACAAGATCTCGAGTATACTGATATTGTTAGTCCTTGCCACATTTTAATAGCACAACTCCAGAAAACACTGATAGCTTATGCAGTAAGGACTTTTTTCCCAAGAAGAGTTCTTTGGTGAAAACTCTCCAACCTCTGGCTTTTCCCTTCTTAGGTGGCCCTGGGGTCCAGCTCTGTATCAGTGATGTACTGCCCATCCTGGCAAAGATGCTTCATGGCCACAAGGCAGAGCCCTTGCATCTCTGCCACCGGCTGGACAAGGAAACCACAGGCGTAATGGTGTTGGCTTGGGAGAAGGAAGTGGCACATCAAGTCCAAGAGTTGTTTAGAACCCGTCAGGTGGCAAAGAAGTACTGGTATGAGGCCCCTTGATGCCAGTAGAGATGGTATAAATAGGGGCATCTCTTTAATTTGTTAATCCGTCTTTCAGCAGGAACTGTTACTAGCACTGCACTGGGGCCTGTGAGGATATAAAGAGATATGAAATAGTGTTGGTGCTTAGAATATTAAGAGTCTGATAAAGTTGTGGTTCTTAACTATGGTTGTACATCAGAATTACCAAAATTAATTTTACAAGAAATATGTAATTTTTCCGGATGCTGGTGGCTTACACCTGTAATCCTAGCTACTCAGGATGATCACAGTTCGAAGTCAGCTCAGAGAAAATAATCTTGAAAAAACCCATCACAAGAAAAGGCTGGTGGAGTGCCTCAAGCAGTTAAGAGCACCTGCCTAGCAGGTGTGAGGTCCTGAGTTCAAACCCCAGTGCCGCCAAAAAAAAAAAAAAAAAAAAAAATATATATATATATATATATATATATATATGATTTCATTCCTGTGCTAAAAGAGCCAAACAATAAAGATAATGCAATAAAAATAAACCTGGAGTATCCACCTACCCTGCCATTCTAGTCCTTTCCCTTGAGGTAGCAACAATTGTAATCTGTTTGATCAGTTTGTTGTCTCATCCTCCTCCCCCGCCAATCCTCTCTCCATGAATGTGTACTTCCCTGTAAGACTTGAACCCAAACAAGTGATGTTCCCCTGAGCTATGTCCCCAGCCCCGGCATCTATCTTTTTAAAAGGCTCCACAAATGCACATAATGGTATAGCTCAGTGGTAGAGGACTTGCATAACATGTCTAAGGCCCAGGGTTTGGTCCCTAGCACCAAAAAACCAAACCAAAACAACAAAAAACCCTCCATAATAGGATGTATAATTAAATTTAAGAACCACTATAGTAAGAGACTACAATTAGAGGGTTCAACATGATTATCTTCTTCTTGGCAGAACTAGAGTTTGAACTCAGAGCCTCAGGCTTGTCAGGCAGGCACTCTTACTGCTTGAGCCACTCCACCAACCCTTTTTTGTGATGGGCATTTTCAAAATAGGGTCTTGAGAACTGTTTGCCCAAACTGGCTTCAAATGTCAATCCTCCTGATCTCTGCCTCCTGAGTAGTTAGGATTACAGGCGTGAGCCACTGGTGCCCGGCCATGATCCTCTTCTTATAAGCCTATTTCTTTTACTACTAAAGTCATAATGCGAATTGTATGATATTTAGAAAAAATATGTTGATAACATAGTCTTGTTCCAACCTTTAAAAATGGATATGTGTAGTAAAAAAGAAAATTAGGATAATATGGTTTGATATTCAGATTTTTTGTTTGTTTGTTTTTTCCAGTACTGGGGTTTGAATTCAGAGCCTCATGCTTGCTAGGCAGGCACTCTACCACTTGAGCCACTCTACCAACCCTTTTTTGGCACATAGGTAAAACAGGAAGGAACTGTGCCCAGAGAAGTGACAGGAACCACAATCGCAACTCAGTAACTCATGCCAAATCTCTTTTGTTGATGGGCCCTTCTCATCACACCACAGACAGCATAAGAAATGTCTGTGTTAGCACAGACAGTCTGGTGTGAGATCCTCTGAGCAGCCAAATCCCAGGAGCTCTTTGGCTTCTGTGGCTAAAGCAGTGATCTGTGTCACCCCTAGGGCCATCACTGTGCGTGTCCCAGTGCCCTCAGCAGGAGTCGTGGATATCCCCATCACTGAGAAGGAGGTGCAGGGCCAACAGCTACATCACAAGGTGGGTAAGCTGCCTCCTGAGGCATGAGTTTTGCATCTTCCTTGCAAATCATGTCTTGATTTCTTTGACTTCAGATGACACTGTCCCCAAGCTACCGTATGGACAACGGAAAAATGGTGAAAGTACGGGCCAGCCGGAATGCCCATGTTGCAGTAACTCAGTACCAGGTGCTTAGCAGCACTTTCTCCTCTGCCCTCATGGAGCTACAGCCTATTACTGGTGAGGGTGCCCCTAATCCACAGCAAGATAGTTACCTCATTTTGACCAGGGCCCCGTGCTGGACTCTGCCCTTGTTCTGAGCCACTGTTAGTATGGGTGGGCTGAGGGTGCAGGTGATTTGTGTGACTGTGTGCTTCTGGTTCTGATCTGAGGCTGTGGGCTTCAGAGAGATGATTATGGGGATCAGAAAAATATAGTTTGAATACCTTCATTTTAAAAATGTACAGAGCAGGTTCTCAAAAATTTAAACTAGCATATGATCCAGCAGTTCTTCTGGGTATGTACCCAGAAGAATTCAAGGCAGATACTTACACAACCATGTTCATTGCAGCATTAGCCACAATAGCCAAAAAGTGGAGACAAATCAAATGTCCATTGAGGGATGAATGGAGAAACAAAATGTGATGTATACATACAAAAGAATTAAGAGGAAATTCTGATGCATGCTTGGATAAACCTTGAGGACATTATGCTAAGTAAGATAAGCCAGACACAAAGGACAGATGCTGTATGATTCTGCTTATATTTATGTACCCAGAGTAATCGAGTGTATAGGGATGGAACATAGAATGGTGCTTGCCAAAAGCTTGAAATAGGGAGATTAAGAGGGAAGTAATGGGGAGTCATTGTCCGATGAGTACAGAGTTTTAGTTTGGGAAAATTCTAGAGATGAATGTTATTGATGGTTGTACCTAATGCCATTGAATTGTATCTTTAAAAATAGTTAAAGTGAAATTTTTATGTATATTTTATTACGAATAAAAATGTACGAAATAATACTATTTAATCATTATGTAAGAAAATTATTTTTTAAAGTTAGGGTAATGATAGACACCAAATTCATGATAGTGGTTACCTAAAGTCTAGAGTATTTATGATGGTTATTTCCTAAGCTAGCTGTTACTGCATAGTGTATAGCTTATTATGTTATTATTTTTGTGTGCATGTGGTGCTGGGGATTGAACCCAAAGCCTGGCACATGCTAGGAGTGCACTCTCCCCTAAGCTACATCCTGACCCCTACATTTTTTTCATTCCTTCTTAAAGTTGGGGTTTTGCCTGTTTACTGTGCTTTGATTTAATATGATTTTAATCAGATGCCAACAGTGGCGTTGTTTCTGTAGCTCCTCATATATTCTCTCTCTGTCAAGGAATAAAGCATCAACTTCGAGTTCACTTGTCTTTTGGATTAGACTGCCCAATCCTTGGTGATCACAAGTATTCAGACTGGAATAGGTTGGCCCCACAGGTAACAATACTGGTTTAACCTAATAAGCTGTTTAACAGAATAAGGGAGAGAAGCTATGCTTTCCTTTTGCTAAAACCCTGAAGGGACTCACCACAAAGAGGTATTGATTGTCCTCAGATAAAAGTTATCTAGCTTTTAGAGAATTCAGAAGCAGTTAGTTACTATCCTCATGAAGCTGTAGGTCAAACAAACCTTACTGCTTTGTTTTAGTCTCACATTTTGTTGGGAAGCTGTGGGCTATAGGAGGAGTCTTTCTGAAACCATGCTACTTTGAAGAGCCGTGGTGGGGTCTTTTAAACCCTTCGAGGCTGTTCTATAGCTCATTCTCTTGGAAGGCCAGAGCATTAGCCAGTAAGAGCTTCTTTGGTCCGGTTGTACTTCTCTCACCTGTTCTAAACCCTTCCTAGGTTTGCCCCTGATGCAGGCTCTCCATTAGTGGGTCTTCCAGGGGTTAGTGTTGGCTCCCTGTAAGTGGAAGTCCTCTGGCCCTGCATGCTGGTCAAGGGGGACCAATAACTTTGTCTTTGTCTTTGCTTTGTGTAGACGCTCCCTCTTGGCATGCTGAAGAAGCTGGGACTGCAGCAGTCAAAGGCCCGTCACATTCCCCTTCACCTTCATGCCCGGCAGCTGATCCTGCCAGCTCTGGGGTCCGGGAAGGAGGAACTCCATTTGGTCTGCAAGCTTCCTCGCTTCTTTGTGCATTCCCTGCACCGTCTGGGTTTAGAAATGCCAAATCAGGATCAAAGCAGAGACAGTGAAGCTGGGCATCTGGGAGCACAGTGAAAACTGTTGGGCAGTTTGGTCACTGAACTCTTTCATTTCATGGAACTAACGTCTCACTTGGACAGACTCCACAAGAGCCATGTGGAATGAGTTGAAGAAGTTCAGCTGCTTCTGGACTTTCAATGGAGAATAAATTCTGTTTATTGGGAGTTTAGCTACACTGTGGAAAAGCCTACTGGAAGTATCCCTGCCATATGGTCTTTTTGTCAAGATGGAAGAGTCTGGGACCAGGCAGATTGGGGCAGTACTCAGAAAAGGAGAACTAAGGACAGAATCTGTGGACAGGAACTATTTTCACCCAACAGCAAGGCTCTTGAGCTATCAGGAAGGTTCTTGGCAAGAACATAATGGTTAAACACACATGGAATCCAGGGATTGCATAATCCTGGATTATGAGACCTGTGAAGAGAGATGTTTAGGATGAAGTTGGAGTAGGGTATTTAATAAGCAAGGAAAGCAAATAAATGGCAGGCTGATAACAAATGAGTGAAGCTGGCAGGGTGTTACAAGACAGTGTGGGGACAATAAACCAAACCAAGGCAGGAACACACACTGTCTAACAGTTGTTACCTCCAGTTGATTGCTGCCACATGGAGACAGAATTTCCCTTTTTTTTTCCTTCCCCCAAGAATCAGAAAACCCAGATATTTATGTAAAATTTCCCAATATATTGCCAACTAAATAAGAAAGACACATCCAAGCACATTTACAGGTTAGTTTGATCTGTAGGTTTCTAGTTTGCAGTCTGTGTTTAATAAATGATGTGAAAATTGGGAAAGGATGTCATCTTGAAAGTTCTGAATCAGTAGTTGGTATTTCTGAGTCATGTAATTTTTGCCCTTTCTAGACTAGGGGATGACTTTGGTCAACTCACAAATGTGTGATTATGAGGGTACTGCCATTTTAAAAAATCTTTGAACAGCTTATTTCATGGTTGCAGTTACCTGTTGCCAACCTCAGTCTGAAAATATTAAATGGAAAATTTCAGAAATACAGGTAGGGCTGGTGGAGTAGCTCAAATGGGAAGAGCACCTACCTAGTAGGCATGAGGCCCTGAGTTCAAACCCCAGTGCTGCCAAAAAAAAGAGAAAAAAAATTCCAGAAATGAATTCATGTTTCAAATTGCACTCCATTCTGTCTTGTTTCATTACACCTGGGATGTGAATCATCCCTTTGTCCAGTGTATCCATGCTGTATATACCACCTACCCTGCAGTCACTTAGGTAACTATCTCAAATTATCAGCTCAATTGTCTCAGTATGACAGTGTTTTTGTTTAAGTAACATTTTGTGAGAGATCTCAGTCACAAAAGTTTTAATACAGTATGTTATAATTGTATTTTTTATTAATCTCTTACTGTACCTGATTTATAAATTAAACTCAATCATAAGTATATGTATAGGGAAAACAATGTATATATAGGATTTGATAATATCCATGGTTTTAGACATCAACAGGTCTTGAAACATACCCCCATGGATAAGAGGGGACTTCTGTATTGAAAACACAACTTTCTACACCCCACTCTCTGTTTTCTTGCTACCTATTGCTGTGTATAATGAATTTAAGAGCATAGATGAGGTGACTGGATTTGTTTATATAAGGCCTAGATAAATTGGCTGTATTTTCTATTTCTAGTAAATGATGCTTCTCAAGATAAAGGAAAAGAATATGACACTTAGGAACTTTTGACAATTAACTTGATTCGAGGAGACAGAAAAACAGGAATGCCCACAAGAATGGAGAACTGTTGAAGAGCAGATAATTGAAGTGAAAGTTTGAATGGGAAAATGTAGAAAAGAAGGAGCAGGCTTGTTAGGGCACACTGAAAAAAGGTGATACAGGATTTATGTCCTCACCCTGTTGGGTCTCCTCATTATAGGGATGTACATTCTTTAATTTGGCAGACTGAAATTTACTAGGTTGAAAATACCTGGGGGTGTTCACTCGTCTCCAGAAGTTTCTCATTAGTTGGAAAAACATGGTTAGCTGCATGATTTACAAACAAGGAAGTAGAACAGGAATATTCCACTCTGGTCCACAGAGCTGGGATGAGAACTTGCTGTCTGTCAATCCTGTTCAGCGTTATCATGAATGTCACACTACCATTCTTCACAATCTTTTTAGGTCTTCAATGCTGAATTTCATGTTGGTTGCTGAACCACTAGCTGTCAAGATAGTGAAAGTTAGTGTTTTGAGAATTCTTAAGCTGCCCTGGGATGTGAGGTCTCCATTTGGAGATTAGAGGGATGCCTTTCTAGACTTCTGAAGCCAATGTCAATATCATGACACCTTCCCCTGACCACTACCCCACATGTGCACACACACAGCAAAGGACTGGCTTCTTCCTTTTCCCCTAAGGACTGGACAGTGACCCTAAGTATAGTAGGAGACTGGGAGTGAAGGGAGCAAGACAGGCCATATGACTTTTAGAATAGGCTAAAATATTCTGATGTGTTTGGTCAAACATAGAAAATGTGATTTTTTAAAATAAGTTTTTTATATTTAACTTTTAAATATGAAATGTCCTTTAAAAATTAATAGAACATTTATGCACACTGTAAGAAGCATCAAACATTAGGTGCTGTAGTCCACTTGTAATTAATTGTCATCTGAGCATTAGTGGAGTGGAAGCCACCATTGCCTGGTGTCCCCAGTCAATGTGTTCAGAAGTGTTGCAGGTGTGGGGCCAGATTTAGTGTCGTGACTACTATGGGTAATCATATGGGAATGGATGCTGCTGTGGATATGCCGGGAAGGAAAGGTATAGGGTCAGCATATCAAGCCAGGCCATCTGGCATGGGACACCAGCCACAGAGATGGTACCAAATCCCTCTGGGACTGGAGCCTCCTGGGACAGAGTGAAGAGACACACTGGGTGCCAAATGCTGCTACTTGAAGAAGTAAGCAAGATTCTGGCATTCAAAATTGAATGTTCCTCAGCTTGCTCAGAGTAGGGGTCAGCAGATACTCTCTTACAGGGTCAGGTAGCAAATATTTTAGACTTTGTAGGTCACCTGGTTTCTGTTACAACCATTTGACTCTGCTATGTAGCACAAAATTAACCACAGATGATATGTAGCTGAATGACAAAGGCTATGTTCAAATAAAATTTTATTAGTGGACTCTGGAATATGAAAATCATAATTTTCATGTGTCACTAATATCTCAGGCTGCCATAGCAAAATACCACAGATGGGTGGCTTAAACAACACATTTCTCCCAGTTCCAGAAGCTGGAAGTCCAAGGAAGGGTATGGCTGGGTCTGGTTTCTTCTTGTCTTGAAAATGGCTGTTCATTTGCTGGTCCTCACATTATTATTTTTTTTTCTGTACATATGCATCCCTGGTGTCTCTTCTTTACATAACCACCAGCCAGATTGGATCAGGACCCCACATTAAGGTCCTCATTTGAGGGGGTTAGGGCTTTAACATGAATTTTGATGGACAGCACAATGCGGTTGTATGATACCAAGTATTTTCTTTTGATTTTTCTCAATCATTTAAGCATGTAAAACCATTTTTTTCTTCACTCACAGTATAACCAAAGGAGAACCTAAATCCTCTAGCTTCACTTGCTTTCAGTTGACTTTTAAAAATCACTAATTTTGGAAGCCACACAGCTGAGCAATGTATTATTAGTTTTCTACTAGCTGTGTGGTAGATGGCACTTCTGATATGGGCAGCATGATGATGATGATGATTGCCTATGTTATTTTTCAGGGACTTGAAGGCTGCTTTTGCCAAAAGCACTGACTGTCCAGTTGGGCCTGCAAGGTGTCCAATGGACAAATAAAATAGACGAAAAGGTTTGGCCTCTGCTTTCATATTGAATCTGTCTTCTTTGCTACCTTAACCCTTGCGTCAGTTTCTGCTCAACTCTGCATGTAGGCATGCTAGTCACTTAAGGAAGTGTTTGTCCATGTCTAATCCAAGATTTATTTGTCCTAAACTTTTCTAATTTCTCTCCTCCCCTTTCAAGGCTGCAGACACCCAAATAAGAATAACTAACATATTTTCAATACTTAGTAGGGACGTCATGACCTTGTGGTTACATGCATAGCAACCACCAGGTTTCACATTTAGTTCCAGACTGCTGGAGAAGCGTCTAGAAGTCTCCAGTCATTCCTCCTTTCCTAAAGCAAGCCTTACCCACCTTCCTGAACTTAACACTGAGTTAAGATGGTCTTTATTGGCAATAGCCTGCCACATGAAAAGTCATTTTGCTGGCATTCCAAATAAATCCTTTTTCTTGCCCCAATTTGTCTTTGATTCATTAGTCCCTTTTCCAGCAACAACAACAAAAAGAGGTTTGTTAACAAGTCATACAAATACAAGATGGACTGCATTCAGTCAGTACGCTGCAGTTGTTGTTCCTATTTCTAGTAAACTGCTTCTTAAGCTAGAGGAACAAGAATACAACACTTAGAAATATTGATAATTGGCTTTGATTGACAGACAGGTGAAGAGGATCTATGGCCTAGTGGGTGTTTAGAGAAGTCTCAGGTAACTAGGGAACTAATCTCCAGGACCCAGGCAGTAACCTGCACACTAGTCTGAACATAGGGCAGACAAGGCTGTGGATGTTGGCTGGAAAGAGATGAAGCTGGCACCTGAAGCCTTGTGGCATTAATGTGGTTGGGCCTGGACAAGTGATGATGAAGTTCTTCCTTTTCTGTGTTTCCTTAGGTCTAAAAAAGGATTAAACATGTCTCTGTCCCTTACTGGGCTGGGCTTTCTGAGCAGTGGATCTTGCTGAACACGGAGGCTCTTTAATCATTGCAAATAACCTAACAGGAATTGTATCTCAGGTTGGTGTGGTCTGGAAAGCTAGGGATATACAGAAAGGAGCTTGGAACATGCCTAAAATGAACTTCACTTATTTTGAAATATCAATTAGAACCAGTTAAAAGATTTGATTTAGTATTAAGTCATGTAATTAGTATAAGAAAATGGTGTGTCATTCTTTTTTTTTTAACATTAGTGGGGTTTGAACATTCTTTTAAATCAAAGTTCTACATGCATGTAATTTAAAATAAGAACTAATAGCTTATAATGAGGAATCACAGTTCCTTGCAGAAGTGGGGCTTTTGTTTTTAGCTCTTCTGGAAATGTGTGTATGTGCCTCTGGTATGTGCTTATTGTACTCAAGAGGCTGGAGGGCTTCTCTCTCAATGCCCCCTCTGGGGCACCTTAATTCCTGGGCAGTTAGGATTTTTCCCAGTATGGGCACACCCAACCTAAGCCCACAAGGCACTTTCTGGGCTCTCAAATCACATGTGTCTTTATATTTGATAACTGGATCTCTCCCATCCTGGGCTTCTCATTCACTTTGATTTCTAGCAAGGCTTCTTGAAGGGTTGAGCTGGGTGTCCTGCAGAGGTCCATCTTTGTATACTGCCCCTCTTCCAGGTGACCTAGTGGCAGAGCTAGGGCAACTAGGAAACCTCTGCCTATGTGCTAGTGACTCCAATCTTTGACCTTGATTTCCCCTTGAGTTCTTCATCTCTTCATCTGCCTGTGGTCATTTCTAGGAGCTCCACATTGGCTCCCTTGCCTCATGCCCAAACTGCTCATCCCCTCTCTCTAGACCTCTTCTTCCTCTCTGATTACCTGCCTTAGCTAAATGCTGTAACCAAAGTCCTGGAAATCACCCTACTCTCTTCCCTTACATTCATCCCCCAACCCAGTCAATCACT